GTGGACTCGGCTGCTCGATAGCAAGTTCTATAACAGCTCCATAGGGTTTCCACGCACTTTGGATTGCGAAAAGAATCCCATATCTGCGTTTGCAGAACTGGCAAGCTAACTCTAGGAAGGAAGTTCTTCAGAAAAGTGATCATGGACTGTGCCTTTAGTCCAAGGCATGAAAATAGGGCATGGTTAGTGGCATATTACAGATTTTTGCTCAGTAAAAGACTTTTTTGTGCGCCTCTGTGAGGCAGACAAACAAACCACACTTACTCTATGCTTTCCTCGTTACGAGAGCGATTACCGCGTTCTCACCTTATTCTGGTAAAGTGGTAAGGTGGTACACCACAAACAGTAATTAGGCTTCCGAACAACAATTACCAAGCATTGAAGGCTTAGACGTCAAGACGTGAACTCTTCAGAAAACAGAATGTTGTCAGCTTAATCGTGTTCCATTCAATCGGGTGGAAATTATATAGAACATGTTACTTCTTAGGTTCCGATCGACTAACAAGGGGATTTTTCAGGACATGGAGCGTTTTTTCAAAATGGTTCCTGAATGTTGTAGAGGCTCATGTGAGGAACACAGAACCATGGTCCATTTTTCCTGAACGCCCCAGGAATGTCAAAACAGCGGGAAGAAATGGTCCAAAGTTCGATCCTCCGTGATGACAAATTTTTGCAATTTATGTTGGCGCCTCCAAATTGCCGCAAAACACGACAATGACATCTATTCTCGACGATGGCGCCATTTGGCGGCAATCTGGGGGCGCCAAACTATATTGCAAAAATTAGTCATCACCGGGGATCGAACTCTGGACCATTTCTTCACCACTGTTTTGACATTCCTGGAGGCGTTCAGGAAAAATGGATCGTGGTACAACATGCAGGAAACCATTTCAAAAAGCGCTCCATGTCCTGAAAGGCCTCCCTTGTCAGGGAGGGAACTTCAGTTCGACGTTTCACACAGAAACACGGCAATTTTTCGCCTTTTTTTGCTCACCAGCCCAGTAACCCGGCGTCACTACCTACGATGCTTGAGCGTCTAATGTCGAGACCTCCTTCGAAATGCGCCACTCACTGTAACTCCATCCAGAATCCTGATTGTATTTGAAATCGGTTGGGTCAATTCAACGGTTTATGGTGGTCTGCCTATACATAAGCTCGTGCTCATTCCCACTCAGATTTGTCTGCTCCAAGTAATCGACCTCAGAGAGCTCGCGAAACAGTTGGCCTGAACTTGCTTCGACCCATGATTTGATCCACCGAACTTGAGTGTGCCAAGCAGCAACACTTGCCGCTGCAAAACCTTTGCGCCGGAAAATACTACACGATAACCGTTCAGCGTACATTCACCGCTGCATTCTATAAATTTAGTTGGTATGCTGGTGAGGGAGGGGGAATACTACGATTTGTGATCAAGAACTATTTTTGGGAACATACGGAGAAAACAAGTTATCACCTAAACTAATGACACTGATAATATTACACGACTGTTGTGAATTCGGTCTCGTCAAATAATGGTGATGAAGTCACGCCTGTGTACAAAAATATAACAAATATAAAGGAAAACTGAGGCTAAAGCAGGTAGAAATTGTGCTCGAATTGGAACGCTACAA